GCCGGAGGCCAAGTCGCTGGTTAATGATATCTCATCACTAGTGGTCACTTGAGACGTATGTGAAGACGCAGGTTCACTGCAGCTTCATGACATGCAGCTGAAGGCGATAAAGACTCACACCCCGACTTTATGGGATTAAGTTGTTTACTGCTGAATGATTCATCAACCTACAAACACGCTGCTATTATGACTTAAAATGAGTTCATGGCCTTTTGTTGGAACCCCTCTGGCTTCTGTCTGAAGATTAGTTTTACACTGCAGCAAGCAGAACAGCTGCAGAATAAAAACGGTTTGATTTTTAAATCCTCACAAAGTCTTAATGGTGCTGTTCAGTTTGTTTTAATCAAACTCTAGTTCGTCTTCCTAGACAGTACGGTTCGTTTGGGGAGGTGTGAATGCGAAATTAAACTCTGGTCCGCCTAAAAACCTCGGGTAAGACCCCTCCAAAAGCAGGAAGTGGACTACAGCGCAGGGCATTCTGGGTAAAAACAACCAAAACAAATGTGCCACTCTATCGCTGGCAAGAGAAAACCTAGAAATCCTAAAATCTGACGTTTACATTTCGTGAAGAAGGAAGTTACGTTCAATTTCTTCTTCTAGGGTTTTTCTGTCATTTCCTTAAGTGGTTATTAGTGCAGCGCCACCACAGGTCAGGAGGGGAAACAGCATATTAGGGTTAGTAAATTTCTGCCAAAAATCCCAGAAAAATTTTTGAGAAAAAAATAAGGACATTTATTAGTTTAAAAAGTCTAAATTTTGCTAGAACATGACATTTTCCTGTTTTTCTAGAAAATTTCTGAGATTAATCTAAAGTTTTCTGAGTTTTTTGGTGGCAGTTTATTCTTCCTTTTATCTTTTTCTGTCTATAATGGTTAAAAAAAAACATTTGTAGGATTTCTGATTTGTCTTTTACTAAAGACAAATCAGAAATCTGATTTGACTCCACTACATTTTTGTTTACATTTTGTATAGGAGGTTGATCTCATGTCTTCTACAGAAGTTTTAATGTCATTTTCTTCAGTCATTCTTGGTGCAGCGCCACCACAGGCCAGGGGGGGAACAGGTTTATAAACATACATCCAAGTATTGGGACCATTGTACATATTGGAAAAACAATTATTAAATTTCTGCCAAAAAACTCTCAGAAATTTTCTAGAAAAAAACGAAAATTTCTTAGTTTGAGAAGTCAAAAGTACATGGAGATCAGGTTTTTCATTTAAAATCTGATCAAATTTACCAAAAAAGTCTGAATTTTCATTCATATCTCCAATCAGCTATTATTTTTCTAATAAAGCATTGACACCGCATATTTAAAACTTCCTATTCAGCTAAAAAAGTCCCAAACTATGCATGTATTTACTTATGTTTTTATTCTTTCCCTGGTTTTGATCTGTTGGGACCTGAAGTTGTTTGGACTGAAAGAACCGAAGTGCTGACTTCTCAGGCAGCAATGAGCCGAGAGGAAGATCAATAAAATAACCTGCCGTTATTTCTCTCTGTCTGATGTTATCTCTCCACCTCCGAAATAGAAAATTCATCATCGTCAGTAAACATCTCCTCACATCAGAGTTTCTGGGGGAAAGGGCTTGTCAGATACAAACAGAAGATAAATGCAGGACATTTTGGAGATATCTGTCAGTTCTTACAAAACGCAGTTTCATCTGTGTTTTCTTTAGGTGGGGAGTCTCTGTGGAGTTTAGCTCATAATCAGAGGAAATTCACCTGAACACAAGTCACAGCCTTGAAAACAAATAGACAGCGCTCAAAAGGAAAATGTTATTTCCAGAAATAAAGGTCAGATCTGGGATCAGTTTTACTTCTTTTACTCTTTTTATTTCAGTCTTTCCTCTGAAATATGAGCTGCTAGAAAACTATCTGGTCTCTTTAATGGGAACGTTGAAAACCAGTAAAGTTTTGTAGGAGTTTCCACATTTCCAGTCCTTTGCAGCATTTCATGATCTATTTATACATCTGTTCTTCTATCGCTCCTCTTTTTTCACCCATCCATCTTCTTCTTTTAAACCACCTATCTACCAATCCATTGAAAATGTTAAACTCTCAGCTAAAGTCAGTTTCCATTTGAACTTTCTGATCCTGAGCAGATCGTTCGCATCATTATTGTGAGCTACAGCCAGCAGGAAGATCAGCTTCTTGTAGCTTCTTGTTTTCTAAAGCTTTCTGCAGCTTCCTCCAGCTCTTTATGACTTTCTACAGCTTTCAACAGCTTTCTACATATTTTTGCAGCTTTCTACATATTTTTACAGCTTTCAACAGCTTTCTACATATTTTTACAACTTTCTGCAGCTTTCAACAGCTCCCTTTTAGAAGCTTTCAGCAGATTCCTGCAGCTTTCTACAACTTTCTACAGCTTCCCGTAGCTTCATGCAGCTTTCTAAAGCTTTCAGCAGCTTCCTGCACATTCCTGTATAGTTCTGCAGCTTCCTGCAGCTTCCAGTAGCATGTGGCCGTGTGTTTGTTGCAGCGCAGGTCAGCCCTCGGCAGCCTGTCCTTTCCTCTCGCTCCCCCAGCGTTCACGCCTCATTAACTCAACACACTCGGCTCCTTTACTGCTGTTAATTACACATCGTAAAGCTCATATTGATAAGGGCAATCAGCGTTTACACCAATTAAGCTCAATTCTGATGGCACGCCAACATGGCGCCACTGACTACATCAGTGTGTTTTAAGTGGAAAAAAATGACCTTTAAGTGGTGAAACTATTTAAACTTGAGTGAGTCAATGAGCTGAGAGTTTTATCAACGCTATGTTGCACATTAGCACTGGGTTTTATATGTTTTGTGGAAAAATATCAGAAAATAGAAGATTAATTGCTCATAATTGGACTAAATGCGTCATTAGGAGCAGAGGATGCAGTAAATGAGCCTAATCCAAAGGGACACATCTCTCCATGTTCTTCTGTCAGCGACATGAGATTATTAATGATTGTCTCTACATATATTTATCTCACTACTAGTGAAGTAGACAGAGATGAGGTTGTTGGCAGGAATGAAGGAAACAAAGCTGCTAATTAGTAATGCTCGTTAGGAGCAAATAAACAGCTGCTAATTAACCGGGGAAGCTTCAGGAGCAGCACCTATAATCAGCCGAGGAGCAGCTGCACACGCGGCGCGGTTTGAACTTTACAAGCTCCTTACTGCCTAAGTTTAGGCAGGAAAACGTTCATTGAAGAGCTCCTGTGTGCAGAGTTGGCACTTTCTGCGTTGCTAAGTCAGTTCTTGCAACATCTGTTGTTTCTCCACCGAACGTGAGGGAAATGGCAGGATGCTGCTAGTGCCAGGCCTGGGTGTGGATGTCTTACTGCTGTTAACAAAATGTCGTTTTCGACAAGCTGAATGCAAAATCCGCCCGCAAATAAGAGTTTTCTTTAAGTTTTTAACGGTTTCTCATCCCTGAAATTGACAAGCTGCTAAAGAAGACAGAAAGCAGTTCAATGCATCTCAGTTTTCAGCTTTTTTATTTTTATCTTTCATAAATATAAGATATAATATAACTAAGATGTTAGGCTCGTTAACTTGTGTATTGTAAATTCAATGTTTGTCTTACTTTCAAATAGTTAAAATAATATGGCACTTAAATACCACTCTGCATTTTAAAATCCAAATAATTTTAGTTTTCTGCACCTGCTGTGAGGTTAAAATCCATATCCACAATAACACAGATAAAATGGAAGCTAATTACAAATGATGGTAATGATAGCAGCAATGATGAAGCAAATGGTGGTGACTTGATGGTGTGGAGGGGCCCAAATGAAAATCTGCTCAGGGTCCAGAAAAGGCTAGGGCTGGCCCTGGACATGTATGAAGGTATAATATTTAATCTGAGAACTGTGTTTCTGCTGTTTTACTTGTTTTTTGTTTGTTTTTTTCATATATTTTATTGTTGCTGTAGGGACAAACAGAAACATTTTCCATTACAAATGTGCACAAATCTTTGTTTCTATCCTGCAAATGTAGAAAAAACACAATTTTGCAACTGCAACGTTTTTGCTAAATAAGAAATTAAATGAAATTACATGTGAATAAACTTGTTCATAGATACTAATGCTCATCATCTATCAGCCATCAGAGAAGACACTAGGATTTTATTCAGGTGTATTCAAAACACTTATACTTGGGAAATTGTAGTCAGCGATTACAGTTTCCACACAACTTTTTTATAAAATGTCCGAAGAAAAACCCATAAGAAAACGATCTGTTTTCCTCCTACTACTTCCTGTTGTCTTCTTTTGCGTTTTCGCCAGTAGTAACGTCCAGCTGTTGATCACGTGACTACTATAAGGCTGAAAGTGTTTCGAAATAAAACTGCAATGGAAGCTCGAAAAACTTTTGATTTTTTTTTGTGCTTCAGTTTAAATAATTTATTTTCTCAATTTTCACTTCTTGTTTCTCATGTGATCGCTTCCCAGCAGAAAGTTTGCTGACTGCTGGCTTAAAATAGACCCATTCCAGCAGATCAGCAAAATCACTCTCTGAAAATGTGCTGCTGAGAGTGAAATCCGTGGGTGACGGCTCGGTCCAGAGGGACCCGTACGCGGGGTTCGGAGGGATGTCCCGGCGCACGCATGTGAACGCAAACAGCGCATGAATATTATCTCCAGCATGCCGCTTCGGAAGTAGGTCACCGCTCCGCCGATCCGTGCACCATGTCTGCAGCTGCTGCGGGCTGCTCGCTCCGTGGATTGCCGTCCGCCTCGCTCCGGGTCCGAGCCGAGGTTCGGAACTGAAGACGGGCTGGGTCACCCGGCGGGACGCAGGAGGTAATCGGCTTGAATTCAGTCCCAGCTGGAGATGATCGCGGTCTGCTGCAACAACTCTGCTGTAATCCGAGCTGCTGCTGTTGGTTCCGCTAGTACCGAGCGGTTTACTCCGTCAAGTCCGTCGGAACCGAGATGTTTCGGGTGTTTTACCCCCCTTTCTGCTTTTCTGATACTTCTCCTGTAACGTCCTGCATGCTGTCAGATTGAAAACTACACGCTCTTC